CCTCCTTCGGTTTCCGGTGAGACCACATCACGAATTCCTTCCAACCAACTTTCCCTTCGAAAGAGAGAGTAATGCCACAATATTTCATTAAAGAATTCTTTGAAACCCAGTTTTTCCCCATATCTAGGAAAGTAATTTGCCTTTTTGGATGTATTAATGAGCAAAGAAGATAATAAGAAAACACGCACACGCGTGTTTCCTCATCAATTTTTCTCCAAAAATAGACATAGAGTCAAAATATGAGTTATGAAATCAATGATAATAAGCAATCAGTGTCTTGCAGACGTAAGCCATAGGGACCAGAAGATTTGTAGTTTGAGGTTTATAATGTTTCTAAACAATTACCCATTAGTATAAGTATATAATTGAATTTCATTTTCAGTAACAAGATAAGGGGAGATTGCACTCTGGAGAGGATAGACAATTGGACAATAATACTTGTTTCCTGACTTTATCTTCCTGTCAGCTTGCGAAAAAGTTGGGTGATATACTAAGCGAGTGGAACATAAAAACAGTGTATAGAGAGAAATTACCACTTTTTCAGTAGCTCCATCTTTTACAGAATTTTCGTACGCTTTATCCAGATCAGGCTGAACAAGTTTTTGTGATCATGTGGTAAAGCCTATGTGGGGCAGACCTGCCAACCCATTCATAAGAGACTTCGATCACTAAATTGCTTGTAAAGATTAGTGGGTACAAAATCTGACCTCGCTGAACACATGGTCAATGCAGGACATTGAATAGACTGGAGCAAAACAACGCTTTGCGGGTTATCGGTACTTCACATCCAAGAGTAAGATTAGAGAGTCTATAGAAATGAACAAAAGAGCCAACGTCCTGAATAGGAGGAACGAGTGTATAAAAGTAAGTATGAACTATTTGTGGCAGTTGGATAGGCTCAAGGCTAGGGAGAGATAGAGACAGTGCAGGAATAGCCTTTGAACAAGAGTAGGAGGCTGGATTAACCTCGAGTATAGCTATGACTATCACACTTCCCATGACGTGGACATTACATACATAAAATAGACATTAGCACAAACTCAAACGAGTCAACATCAGATGATCGTGGATTAGTATATTTTTGCTCTATTTTGTAAAGTATTTATTCCTATTCTGATGATTTCCTTCTTTTGAAATTAAAAATTATGCCACAATTTATCACTACTAAATTATTCGAAGCCCAGTTTTTTTTCATATTTTTGATAAAAAGTTTCTTATCTACAATAATGGATTCCTTTTTGCCTTTCAAATCTACGACATTTCAATTCACTAAATTCTTGTTTGAATTTATGTTAGAGTTAAGCCCACTAAAAATCGTCCGTTTATTTCTAATTACAATCATATTCTCTATAGGTATAAGATAACTTAAAGCGTTTAGCCTCACAACCAGACGTTTGTTGTAATAAAGGTTATATAAGGGCTATTCACCATCGATTGTCGGGACCAGAGTTTGCACAATGTTTTAATCACTTGGACCTTTAATTGTTGGTTCCATAATCTTTTATATTCATGAATGCACAAACGAAAAGTTACATGCTTCTAAATTGGCACATGTCATGGACTTACCAAATCACTTTATTTTCCTCAATAATTAGCTTGTCTTAGAGGTTGCATATAACCAGTGAGTATTTTTTATACTCATCGGTCAGAATTGACTGTGAGAATGATATTCTGCTCTGAGGAAGTTTTTCATATAACAATCTAAATCTCAGCATATTTTCATTGGAACCGAAGTAAATTATTCGTCATACCAAGCATTCCATTAAAGTTTAAGGAATCAGTCTTTGTCTACTTGTCTTATTATCAAGCTGAATTACAGTTTGTATAATGCCTGGATATCATCTGCACTCAGAAAGGATTTAAAACCGATTCTAAAGAGTTTGGTGAATCGTTTTTTAATTATATGATAGATTATATTTTAAATACAAGGTTAACACAAAGGTACTAGTCATTTTTTGAAATTTAATTACGTATATATTAAAAAGAAATACGATTTTCTAACAATCCCTTAGTCATGTATTGTGACTCAACTTTAATTTCTAAGGAAAAGTTGGCCGAGATGAGTTTGAGAATTGGTCTCTTTGGAAGCCCTTGGATTATGCAAAGAAGTCCTCATCTTACTTTCCCGCGTCTTCTACAAACCTGTGCTAAGCTTTCATCTGTCATGTGGCAGACATCGTCAGAGCGGGAATCTGTACTTTACAAAAATGAACACAAAAACACTAGACCAAGAGAATAGCTAGCCGGCTGCAAACCTACAAGATTTTGCCAATTTAAAGAAGCCTTTACTTATTTGGTTATCTACTTCATGCTTAAATAAGAGTTTGGTCATCCTAATACGCTTAAGATGATATAAGGACTGATAGTTGAGTTTTCCTACAATCAGCTGAGTACCCATCACAATGCTATTGAATTGCATTTAGTTTTGTCTACAAAAAGACTAGCTCATCCACGTTGGATTGTAGTTTCGATGCGGCCTAGGTCTCATCAGCACCCCAGCAGGATTGGCAAATTACTGAGAGTCTGGAAAACTACTTTTATCAAAAATAAGTAACGGCGTTGAGTGCAATTGAAAACACATGTTTGCCAGAATGACTATTTCATTATAAATATGAGGATTAAGAGTCTTTGCTTGTCTTGAATATCTCATCTGTCCTGTGACCCATTGGCACTCGTGGCCGTCAAGTCGAGTTGATAGGTAATATCGCCACGAAACTCACGACCCAATATCGAATCCCACCGGAGGTGTTGATAAGGCAGGATCTCGACAACGATAACATTATCAATATATTATTTTTACAATAAATAAGCAAATAGACAGTTTACCTGACGGCACTGATGGTTATTTAGCTGGACAGCATTTAATCCTACAATCTAACTCGGGATACCGATTCTATATAATCAAAGAAATAAAATGGAAAAATTCGCCTTCACGGAAACGATGCAATTAGGCTTTTCACAGAAACGACACGATTTTATTACGGACTACAACATGTTATCCTGACTTTTCAAGACCGGTAAGAATTCAATAAGCTCTTTGGTCCATAAAAGTTACCGCCCAGTGTAAATGAATTCTTGTGTTTCTTATCGGTATTCATTTCGCCCGTGCTTGACTAAGAAAGCCTTAATTGTTTACGCAAGCTCAATCCTAATTTGCGAAAAAACTGAGCCGAACTCATGGAAAATAATTACACCAAACTGTATCACAAATGGATTCCGATCAAAATTGGGTGACTTTTCCTGTTCCAATGCCTCAAAAACTCCCGCCATTGCCAGAAATAAATGCCGAAATTAACTTTTGCATATAGACGATGCGCCCATTCAGCCGATTCGCTACTCTTCATTTTATGAATTTAGTAGCTCTACTGCAGTGTCATGCTTTACTGTGCTAAATTGCAGCTAAATATTGAATCTGAATCTCATATGATTCCCGAAAAAGCTTTTAAATCCATTTAGCTTCATCTCCCCTCCTTCTGGTCTCATTTATTGGGCTATTCACCAAACTATTCTTCGAACTAGACATTCCATTCATACAAGCTGGTACGGAAAACCGCTTTCTGCAAACATCAAACGCGAGGGAGCCTTGGCGAAGGCTCCCCAAAAGCCTGCTGCCATCCAAAAGCGTCACCTACGCGGGACGGCAGCTTTGTCTCTTATTCTTCAGCCAAAAATAGCATTTTTCACTTCGGTTTACCGTATACTCTCATGGGACAGCTGAGGAGCTCACGTCCTCTTGTCCCGTCTGCTCGCCCACCGGTTGGCCGTGGATTCGACTAGAGATAGCCGAACAAATGGGCACATGCGCTAATGTGGCATAAACCGCTATCACCATCTGGTCGGCATGGTTTGACAGCGAGCTGTACCCCCTAAGGCTAAAGAGATTGCGAATCCTAGGCTACTTATAGGCTCCCCCTCTCCCAGACCTCTTTATTTTTTGCACCAGAATATCTTTTCCCGATGACCAAAGCTGGCCAGCAGCCTTAGATTTGGACAATACTCCTCCAAACATTGGACGAAATGAGAGCATTGGACAGAATGGAGGGGAAAAATGCAATTAATGGTGCTCCAACTTCGCTACACTCTTCAACCTAGACACTAATACAAGACAATGATACATTCTCTTTCTTTAGGGACTATGGAAACTCCATCATTTTGTGAATCATAAGAGCCACATTCTTGTGAATTCAGGCGACTTGAGGGTGCTCGCTTATTACATAATGTAGTCATGGTACAACTGAAACAAAGTGGGAAACGCTGGATAAGAGTGGAGGGATGCCATTGGTTCGTTCAACCTGGAGGGGATTCCAGGTTTGAGCTACGCGTTGCGTCGAAGCTGCGTGCCCAAAGTCAGGACTTCCTTTTAATATGGGCAGCCTATAAAGGTATTTTGTTAACAGGCGATTTTCTAGCCAATTTTTGTTGCCATCAGCCGCGAGTGAAACTTTTCGTTTCTATTGGTTAGAGGTTACTAAAACTACCTCTAAAAAGTAACTCAAATGAATCGATAAATGGAATCTAAACAACCTACAACGGAGGAATAGTGCCGATTATGGATAGTTACAGAAGTCTTAAAACTATAATTTTGCCTATGTTGACATCTCTATAGTCATTGACTGCCTGAAATGGAAGATTGGCATAAATTTACGCTACCTCAAAACTTACTGATACATCTTACTCTGAAGTTGACGCTTCGGTTTTACTCAGAATAATAGGAATTCTTAACGCAATTTTATGCATAAGAATCCTTATTTACTAAAAAAGTGTACACCTTTGCTTAACTTCGGAAAACCACAGGCCATGGGTGCCTTTTAATCTCCCTTCACCCACCCATTTCCCATAAACGATTCTTTCAGTCTGGTTGTAAGCACCTCAGTGGGATACTTTGACAACAGCCTATGCGTAGTAATGCTACGCAAATGGACCTCAATCTTATCTCTGTGACTACAACTGTTCATGCTCGTTATTGCTTCATCCCTGCCTTCTTTATGCACTGTTAGATTATTTTGACGAGACTATTTATAAGGTCTAATGAAAGAAGAAGACTTAAATGGCACAATTGATTGGCCAGAATGAGGAGTCACATACAGCCCAATGCAATTCCTAGGCTTTTCCAGCAATTGATCAGATAATTTTACTAATTTAAGCAATCTATAAATATGATCATCCTCTTAACTTATTTAAGCAAAGTTCCAACCTCCTCCAAGGCTAGATTTGGCAGTAACCTCTAAAGAAAAAATGGATAAATTAATGACCCTTCCTTTGTTATTTTTACCAGTGGATACAGGTAGAGATGGAGGCCTGCCTAGAAAGCAGCACCCAGGCAACACAGTAAATGAAATTAAAATCTCCACTTTTCGATATAATTGAGTTTTGAGACGATTAGTAATTATGGAATAAGAGCTCGTCTATCTTAGGTCACTTGAGGTGGTTTAGGGATAGGCAGATGCAGCTTGCGCAATCAACTGAGATTTATTATATAGAAAAACTGGGCTTTGGATAATCCCTTAATAGATTGATGCTGGAGAAGCTTCCATTTCGTTTAAGAA